CAAGCCTAATTCGCCGGTTTATTTGAAAGCTGCCGGCCCCTGCTCCAAGCTCGGACTTGATGCTCCGAGGAGGGAAATGCTGCATTCCACGTCTCGCTGGGAGGAACCGCGGCTCGTGGTCAGGGCGAACGCTCCTCCATCCTCCTCGTGTCTCCCCAGGGTTCGGCCAGGTTGTGCATCCCTGGAGGGGTCCCGCTCCCAGGGCATGCAGGCTGCACCCTCCTTCCTGGGCACCTTTCCACCTACCCAGCCCCCGGTCACGGTGGGGACTGGTGCGAGAAGCAGCCACCCCGGCTGCATTTCCATGCTCAGTTGCTTCGTTCATGGCAGGGGAGCCTAACGCGTCCCATGCACCGGCCGCGCATCTTGGGGGGGGGCGGGGGGTTTTCCTCGTGGTTTCCATAGGGACCCCCCCCCCCTTTTGGGCAGCTCAGGGAGCCGTGTAGCCCACTTTAGCTGCCTTGCCATTTATTTATGACTGTGTCTGTGGTACTTTCAGCTACGGCTGGCGGTTGTGTTGCTCCCCTTGCCCGGCAGCATGATGTCTATTAAATTAAACTATTAGACTAAAATAAGTCTATTATTTTGAGGGCTGAAACCAAGGAGGAGAAGCAGAGCAGCTTGGTCGCTGCAACAAGCCCATGGCTTTCGAACCAAACCTTGATGGTGTGAACCAAATCCCGATGCCTTACATCAAGGCATTTTGGCTGGGGGAGGACTGGCTTTTGTAAATTTCCCCGCCCCCCTCCCCCCCCGCTTTTTTTCCCATGGGGAAGATCTTCCCATGAATCTCCCACTGCAACCATCTCCTGCCCTGGGGGAACAGGAATCCCATGAAAGCATCCCGGGGGCGTCTGTCCATTCATCCCACACCCCTACCCCGCGGTGCCATTCCCAGGGGGTGCCAGGCCATTGCCTGCCCCGGGGAAGGGTCCCTTTTGTGACTGGGGGGGGGGAACCCAGGGGACTTGCAGGAAGCTCCGCAGCATTGCCGAGGATGGAAAAATCCCGGGGATCTGCCCTTTCTCTGAGAAGACATCTGAGCTGGGAGGTGTTTTTCTTTCCATCCAGTCAGCACAGCCGCTTGGAAATTTCCTACGCCAGCTCCCGGCTGTAATGTTTTCATAACGAAACAACCCGTCTGGCAAAGCCCTGAAAAATGATTCGCCAATTAGTGACTTACATCTTTCCTGTAATTCTACCTCATTAGCCTTTATTAAAAAGAAATAAATTAAAAATAATAATAAAAAAGAGCCAGTCCCCAGAAGCGCCTTGCAGAGTCCTCCCAGTTCCTTGCTGATGTTTCCCTCTCGCTTTCCTCCCGCCTGGGTGCCCGGGGCTGCCGATTGCAGTGGACACCGGCCCGCAACGCTAGTCGTCGGGAGCCGCGGGGCTGCTGATGTGCAGTGCTGTGCCCCATCCCTGCAGTGCTGTGCCCCATCCCTGCAGTGCTGTGCCCCATCCCTGCAGTGCTGTGCCCCATCCCTGCAGTGCTGTGCCCCATCCCTGCAGGCAGGACTGCGGGGAGCACATGACAGGCAGAAGGGACCTGACCTCGGGGTGCTTTAACGTGCGGCATCCTCCTTCCCGGGTGTAAAGATAGATGCCTGAGCAAGACCTCAGGGGCCATGCGGGTGCTCCCCGCTCCCCTGCACCATGACCAGGGCCTTTTCTGCCCTTTTCGGTGCTCCCCGCCTGCTGGCAGAGGGGCCTGCGGTTCGGGCGATGGAGGGAATGCTGACTCAGCAGCTGAAAAGGCTTACTCGGCAATGTGCGAAAATGCTGGCACAGCATTTTTTTTAAATGGCCGACTCAGCAGGTTGAAAAAACATTGCTCAGCAGTCTGCAAAAATGTCGACTCACGCGGTTGCAAAAACACCGAGCCGTTTGCAACCCCCGTCCAGCCGAGCCACACATGGACCAGCTCTGCCCCTGCCCTAATTTTCCGAGGACGCTGCTGTGGCATCCCATCTGACTCCCATGTTTGAGGGGTGAAGCTCCCCCAGGTTTGCCCTTGCCAGCCCTCAAGCTTGCCCAAGCCCAAGCCCTTTGGCTGGCCACCCTCGGGCTGCCCCGTGCGACTTGGGCTTCTCCCCAGCAGCTCCTGAGATCTCGAATGGGAAATGCAAAACACGCATATGGAGAGGTGTCTGCGGCGGTAACCCCCCATCCCCGAGCCCCCATGGCTGCAGGGGGGCAGTGGAGTCACAGCCCAGGACAGTAAATCCTGGGCCGTTGCAGAGCCTGGAGCTCAGCCATAGACCACCGCTGCTGCACCGCGAGCGTGCCGGGACCCTCCTGCTAACGCCTGCGGTTGAAATGGAAGAAGATGGGCGATGCCGCCCACAAACTCACCGATTTTTCAGTGGCCCCAGTGCCTGGTGCTCATGAAGGAATTGGGAAACCAAACAGCGATTTCCAGAACTCCTGCAAAATTAAGGATCTAGGCGAACTGATCCAACCGAGTGGGTCTTTTGGCAGGCTGCTTCAGCCCTGCAGGCTCCCCTTCTCCCCCCAGCACCAGGAGCGGCATCAGCGAAGGAGGTATTCCCTGATGGCAGAGGAAGCAACGAGGCATGCAAGAACATTGCTGATCGCTCTCTAAAGACGCTGTAAAAGGAACAGAGGAAAAGGCTCCATGAAGGAGCGCACGTGTGCTACATGTATTCCTCCCTCGTCTCAGCCCCGAGAGGGTTTCGGGGCCTGGCTGCCTCAGTTCCAGCCGAGAGCAAATTGGACCTCTGCAAGTCTTTTTTTAAAGTCTCTGTTAAAGATGATGCTCATGGCCTCGGCCGGGAGACACAAACACAGCTAACACCACGACAGCCCGACCACACTGCAGTTCTGAATTTATTAGAAACAGCTGTCAGTACATCCTTCTAAAACATTACATGTCAATGTGCTTTATTGCAATTTTTTTATTGCATTTTTTTGATCTAGAGCAAGTAGGCCCAGGATGCTTAGTGTCTGGGATTTAAAAGCCCAACCATCTAGTAAAAGAAAGTACAGCAAAATTGTAACACACCTGGTGACAAGTACAGGGTTGCATTACTGAGCTAGAAACTACAGGATGACTTGTCTGAAAACACTAACATACAATTGGTTTCCTTATGAAGCAGTTTGTTTCTTTTCTTTAAAAGTTAAACTACATGAATTCCTTTTTTTTCTTTTTTTTTCCCCCCCCCCGACTACACCATAAACGACAGAAGAACAGGTTTTACACAAATAACAAACAAGAGTACCAAAGTTACATGCTGGAATTCATCCGGAAAACAAAATAGTTCTATAGCTTCTGGAGAAGCAGGTTCTTAACAGATGCAGTTTCCCTTAAAGAAAATAGAAGTCAACGAAAAGCAGAAACATTAATGCAAAGGTTGTACAAAGGAGTGTGCTGTTATTTCAGCCCTCGATACAAGATCAAACACCCACTCATGCTTTACATTGAACCACACCTTATACAAAGAAGTCCACTCACAAAGGGACACGTACCAACACCACCCATTGCACATCGGCTCTGGACAGGGGGGCCCGGGGGTCTACCGAAAGGCGCAAACGTTCACCGCATCTCGCAGGAGAGTAAGAGGGTTTCTTTTGCTAAACCTTTGCTTGGAACAACATTGGATGCTTTGTCCCAGAGTAAATAACACCCCAATTCAATTCGGTTTACAAATAAAGTAGTAACCCCCCAAGGAAATCCAGAGTTCAGCATTTCAGAAGCACATATGCAAGATGAACACAATAAACTCCTTTTCATTTGACAAAACCAAACCCAAATCTGCCTAAACTCATGGCAGAATGTGCTAACAGTGACTTTTGTTTTATTTTTAAGGGGCAGTGCCACTTACAGCTAATGCATATAAATGTGTACGTGAATATATTTTACATATATCTATATACATACAGTACATATACACACACACGCGCACACACACACAGATGATGCAGACCATTACAATCCCGTGGTGCAATAAACAGCCAGATATACAAAATCAACAGGTTTCGTCAAACATATCTTTGCTGGATGTAGAAGTCACTCACGAAAACAAAACAGACCAAAACCCCAGCCAGCTGACTGAACACGAACCCCCACCACACCCAACGGAGACCCGGGGGCAGCTCGCAGCTGGCCCGACATCCTACAACTCCCCTGAAGTGACGAGACTGATGCCAGGGGGTGATATTCACCCTTGGACACTTTTTTTTTTGGTCTTTGGATGCAATCGTTTTTCCAAACGATCCCGAGCCCCTTGCCACCAGCACTCGGCAAGCGCATGGGTACAGCGCTGCCGAATACAGGGGGAAATCTCAGCCCCCTCGTTTGCCAACGCCGATCTCACAGAAGCAGTCCCAAAGGAAGGTGGTGGAGGGGGGCATCAAATTAAAGCTGCTTTCTCTAATACAGGTCGATCAACAGGGCCTTCTTTCGATCAATAAGGGCCCAGTCTCACTTTTTTTGCCTCTGAAGCTCATATTACATTTTTTAAAGGCAAGTTTTAGAACCAATGGTGAGTCTAGTCATAAAATATGCCGAGCCTATGCCAATAGCAATAAAAAAAAATGCAAATTCTGCATTAATTGTACGGAGCCAGCCCCAAAGACCAGCACTTCAAGCACTGTCATCATCTAAACAGTTAACAAGCTCAAGCTCCCTATCTGCTCCTGTGAACAAACGGGAAGGAGTTGAAAAGTTTTCAAGATTTTTTTTTTTCCCCTTCCCATTCGGTGGAAAGTATTTCTGCCCACAGAATGCAAGATTCACAAAAATGTTGGACAAACTTCATCTAATCCCATCCAAAGCTACTCCTCACGCAGTACTTTACTTAACTAGCCGAGCTGCTTCACGAACAGGCCCACATTTATTTGGGCTAGTAACTCGGTTCCTTTCTCCTGGCTGCACAGGTTGTGCCAAGGGAAACGAGGGGATCAGCAATGCGAGTTCCCTCCCAATACAGAAAGGAAATTAATAGAAGGACTTGCTCCTCTATCTCCTTGCATGCGCATTTAAGGAGAGTGCAGCTGTATTCCAAAGGGAAGGGTCTGCTCTGGCACCTCCTCTTTCTTTCGCGGTTCAAGGCGGAGGTCCTACTTCATGGTCTGTCTACTGCCTCACTGAACTACAACCAAAGGGACGCTTTAAGATGCCGACCCTTCCTCTTCATTAAAGCTATTTGCTTTGAACACTGAATTTGATCAAGCCTAATCCTCCCCCCCGCCTCCCGAGTATCTTTGTTCTATGGGAACATTTTGATTTTGCTGTTCCGAAAGCAGAGGTTGCAAATCAATATAAGGAAAGTACATGTAAGAAAATCTGATTTTAAACATGATCTAAACAAAACCACCCCCAACCCATCATAGTGCTTTGTAAAACTGCATTTTGAACCTGTCTCTTACGCCTCCTGATCCACAAACAGTACCTGTTTCATGTCTGCACAATGCAGCAAGCATACAAGACTCACTAACATTTCAGATTTTTATTCCCTGTTAGTGTAACAAAAATAAAAAATAAACAGACATTCAAAAACAGAAGCGAGATTGTTCAAGTACCAAATAAGGGGCTTTTCCAAACTGAAGGTGTGACACTCCTATAGCAATTCTGCTGTTTTAAACAGCCACAGCGTTCAGTTGCGGACACGGTGCCACCCAAGCCTGCAGAGAGCCCAGGATTTGAGGCAACCGAGACGCTCCTCCTTCCCCTGTCCTCCCCAGAACAGCACTAAGTGTCAACATTCATTTCCACAGTCCCCATTACAGTTGCCTGGCTTTGCGAAGGACAAACTTTCATTTTTGCCCCACTGTGACTAGAATTCAGGTATGGTTAAATACAAGCTCTTTTCCTGGGAATGGCTTTCGGTTGTGGAAGTCTTGCTTACACTAGTGTCAGCAAGAAAAGAATCAGGCCCATCACATTAAATGGAAAACTTCTTGACCATCTGCCACATCAAGAGAGATGAGTGTGGAAAGAGCATTTTATTTTTGGCATAAGACAGAGGGCTGTACTGGATATAACTCTAGATTGCAACTACCAACAGTGCAAAGCAGTGACCCAATCCACTGCTGATGAGAATTAAAAAAAACAAAATACAACCCCCAAATCTAGAGCACTCCAATATCAGAAGGTGGACAGTCACATATTAATGCTTCACATACTAGTGAAACGTCTGTCAGGACATCCCTCTGTTTCTAGGTTGGTTCTTCCCATGCTAATATTACTTGTAATCAATAAAGAAACTAGTGGGAAAAGATTTATAACTTACTAACTTAAAAAACATGGCACTCACGGCTGATACAATGGGGCCAATGGCAACTGTGGAAGTAGACCTGATTTCCATCCATACGAATACAAAATACTGAATCACCCCTGATCCCTGCAAATATACTTCAAAACAGATTAGAAGAAACTGTGCATATTTGAGTTTCAACATCCCCCCCCCCATTTAACACTGTGCAAAAGTTTTTATTTAAGTCTACATATATATTTAATACAACGTGGGTCAATGAGATCAGTCCTCCTCTAACTGCGGTCCGCTAACAGACAGCTCCTACAACAGTGAGATTATTTCCCCCTTTCCACCTGACATTTTGACTCTTGAAGCCAAAACCTTCTCACATCTTACTGTTTTAAAAGAACTTGAGTTCCTTTGTTTTGCCTTTATGTTCACATTTCCTGTATTTGTTTTAGGCTTAACAGCTGCTTTTCATACCAGGGTGTAATCCTGCACCGCACAGGCCCATTTCTGATTTCTCAGTCATGCAAGTGTAGAACAGCTCCTGGAAGCTGTGGGTTTTCTCACAGGTCTAACACTACTGAGCAAACAGAATTAGGCCGAGCACAGCAGGACCAAGCCCTTGCCCTGTGGATCACACCAGCTACACGTGTCAGTTGGTTTTATACCCATTTTCATTTGCCCTACAAGTGCAAAACGGATGCAGAAAGAATCTGTGCAATGGCACGTGAGAGTCAAGGGGAGCAGTCGTAGGAGCTGGGACTTCAGGTGCCTAAACCAAACACAGAGATACAGCGGCAAAACACAGCCTCAGAGAGACTGCTGAGGACAGCAGAGCCAAATACAAGGAATGCGGGCTTAGTCTGCCCACAGCCCTGATCTGAAGGTTTGGGCAAAACAGAATTTCAAAGAATGCTTCAAGATGGCTTATTGGCTCCGAGTCCATCATTTGCAGCAAATGCATCACCTGTGACCAGCAAGGAGATCTCGGAGAGCAAGGGTCCAGAATCCCAACTCACTCACACCACTATAAAGCCAAGCTACCTTCACGGACGCCAATGGAATTACACTGTATTTACCTTGGCAGAGCCAGGGCCAGAGCCTGGACTAAGACCTCACAGGATCAGTCAGATTCCACTACAGGGAAACTTCAGACAGTCCCGCTCTGCCATCCCACTGCTGTCAGTACTGCGAGGGTGTGCCAGGATTTATGAGCCTGAAAGCAGACCTGCGCTTGTTTAAAACAAAACTGAGCCCTATCTAAAAGTGGGGCAGATGTGAAACACTTCAGCCAGGTTGTCCCTGTAACAAAAACAGGGATCAGAAATACATGCCCGTCAGCCTCAAACGTTAACATTGTAAGAGGAGAGCCCAGCGAGATCACAAAGGCAGAGAAAACAATCAGACACTCCTCTCGCACAGGTTTTTCCACAGGCATGAGGCACCTGGCTATCATTTGTACCTTTGAACTGATTTCCCTCATCGGGCATTTGGACTCAGCCCAGCACCAAGGGAACACTAGATGCACAACAGGTGTGAGAATGACAGCTTTACAGCTACCAGATTAGAACTGCAAATTATCCAAGAGGTAGGGCAAGTTTCTTCAAAAAGAAGAAATTTCCTTAAAAAGAAAAATTTCTATGTCCGTATACTACTGAGGAATCCATTCCAGATTTTCCACTAAGAGCAAGGGCTACATCTCATTTTTCCTTTTCTTAGGGAAGTGGGAGAGAAGGGACACATGAGCAGATGCAGGTCACTTTGACATAGCAACTTGCATGAATTTTCTTCTCCTCTCACCCAGTTTTGGTTAAATTTTGTAGCGTTTCATATAATTAGAAAAGTGGCATCTACAGAAATCTTTGCCTGAAGGTTGCGCTCTGGCTGATTAGAAAGCGCCTAGGATGCGTCAGGGTCATTAGTGCAAAATAAAACATCTCACAGGCATGCCAGGCAACCAGACTACCCTTCCTGCAACGGCTGTCAGTGCTCCAGCCTTGTCATTTCCCTGCTTGCAAATTCATGACATTCAGCAAAATAATACTTCTAGTGTAAACAAACAGCAACAAGCCTGGCACTACTGCCCAGGCATTACAGAAAAAACCCATTTGAACAGGAAATAAGCCCCAGGGTCAGAAACGGGTCTAGCGCATTCTCAGACCTGCATGACTGTCTGCTTCCTGTCCTGCACAATGGGTGCATTGCAAGGGAACTGCTTCCAGTAATAGGAACAAAAGTAACTTTCAAGGTTGCACACTGAACAATTACTTTGCCAGTGCTTTGATGCCAAGTGGTTGAGTTTGCCAAATTTAGCTCTTTTTCATTTTAGAAGCTTAAGGAATGGAAATAAGCTGCTTTGTATACTTTCCAGGGAGAGGATTTATTGGATGATTGCTATACTTGACGAAGCCCAGGACTACCCACTCCAGTATTTGACAGCAGCACTTGCCAAAGGATGGTACCAGACATCCAATAACTGAGGAGTATGGCTCTCTTACCTGTGTTTTGCATCACGTCCAAAAAATAACTACAAGGGAATTTAGATTACACCAGTGTAAAATCTTGCTTGGCTGCAGTGGTGTGAGAGTTCAGAACCTAGCTTGCAAAGAACAAATCAGAGGAGATCTATAATTAGCATGCTCACTTCTATACAACTGGAAATGACTACACCTCATGAAAGAATTTGGTACAATAAGCCATCCAGAAGCATTTGATTGCACCTACCTCTTCTATACCAAAATCAAGCATTACAAGAGTCTGTCATTGTTCAGCAAGAGAACTGCAACAGGTGAGTGCAAGCTTCATTCTAGTTTACATTCTGAAGCACAGTATCATTAAAAACTGAAAACAGAATCCCAAGCTGAGGAATGGGAGGAAGTGGGGGGGGGTGGTGGGTGAAGAAAGAGGAGAGCGAGCAATTACATCAGATCAGACAAATTTAGTGTTTTGAAGCCACACAATGTTTAGCTTTTCCTTTTATTTGTTTCAAGTTTTGGTGTAGAAAAAATGTGCGGATGCTAATGCAACCTTCCCCGTAAGTGCTCAATCTAGCAACGAACAAAGTTTTGGTGTGTTCAATTTGGTTATAAATGTTTCCTTTAAGTGAAGACCTGTAGTGCCATTGAAACCAAAACTTTGTTACTGTTGGCAAAAAAAATAAAGCAACTTTTCTTTACAAGCATTTTTCCATTTAAATAAAAACCTGAAGCTTTCCCATAATTCCTTTGGTCTTCTCTCACCAAATTCCATGCTACCTCAAGACAAGCCCTCTTTTGGAAGTTCGGCTGAATCGCAGTGAAGCTGCTAAAATTAACAGAGAAGAATTGCTGTGGTAGAGTTGCCCCCCTAGTTTCTTGGGAGTTTAAGACTGAAAGACATTACTGATGCCTCAAACAGAGGCTTCAAATTGTCTCTACAAGAACAAGAGAAAACTAAATCCAATTAGAAGTTCCACTGAAGGTGCCTGGCAAAAAATTATCTCCATAAAACGATGTTTTGCTTCCAGTATTTTTGTATGCATTGTGTTGAGTTTATTCCCCTCATAAGGAAACAAAAGTATCAGTGTAAAAGCACAGCTGAGCTTTTAAGGTAGCACCAGGACACCTACACCCAAGTTGTCGTCTTGTTGCTGCTAGGCCTCTTTTTGATTCACATTCACAGAATCACTTCTTGTGCAAAACAAGCAGTCTAAGGAGAAAGAATGCCCTCCAAGTTCTAATAAAAATTGTAGAAAAGAATCCAAGATAGCCAACGCTTTCCTCCTCCCCAAAATTTATCTGCAGAGAGAGGGGGGCATCTGTGCGTAGACAGGATAGGCAAGCCTGACATTTAGGGAATCGTTGTGTTGGACAAGGGATGTCTGCTGGTAATGAAGAACCAAATCTTTAAGTGTGCTGTACAGGTTATACGGTTCTGCAAACCCGTAACCTCTTGGAGTGCTGTAGATCACACAGTGTTTCACTTCTCCATCAGCTCTGCAAGGAAAGAAACCAGAAGAGTTTTACATCAAAGGACAAACCAAAAGCGACAGTCTAGTAACAATTAACTAATGCAGCAACCCTGCCAGTCACTAAATTACATAATGGAGGATCCAGCAGATGCAAGTTGAGGAGATTAATATGGTCTGTGAAGAAACAGTGCTTCAGGGCACGCGATTAAACACTCTTGCGTAATAATCCACATAAGAGGCCTCTTCTATCCCAGCAGTACAGTTCCCTACTGCATTGTTCTCCAAATGTTTCTTGGAAAAAAAAGTCAAGAGCTTAGCCAAGAAGATAAGCACCTGAAGTCAGCTATGACTTTGTGCTCAACTTATCTGGAAACCTTTCCACTAAGCGAAGAAGCCGAAACCCACAAATTCTTAGGACCTACAGAGTATTTCATGAAATGCAGCACTAACCGTCAGTGGGCATTTTTTAATGTTAAGCATGGCATGGGTTCAAGTTGGTTCATTATCTGAAGTCATAGCAACTGAGTCCCTAACTTGGCAAAACAGTTACTGCAACACAGTATTTCCAAAGCTCCTAGAAAAACTTATCTGCCAGAAAGATCAAGTATTATGTAATCCCTGTACTGGAGCCTATTACAACCCAAGTCACATGTAGGAACAGGTTGCGTTATGCCATCCCTTTGCTAGCTTGTAGTGCGATACCAACTAAGCGAAAGTATCTGACGAACCCATCACTTCAGTGACTGTGACAAACAGTATCTTGAACATAGCAGATACTACAATCTTCAGTTACCTTGAGGTGATATACCTTCACATATTCATTTCTTGGACTTGCTTTCAGAAGCAATTAACCTCATGTGAAATAAATCAGTGAAAGCCATTTTGCACTCCAGAATATGCTTGAAGGGTTTTTAAATAATGGAATCAAAGTACTTCTGACCTCCATTACACCAGCATAAATGAAGTGAAACACAAGAAATCAATACAAGGCTGTGTGAATGTCAAAAAATACTGCTCACAAATAATGTCTCCTCTGAAGCATCACCGTTATCTTAAACATACAAGAGAAAGCATCTAGAGTTGGCCATCTCTGAAAATGAGAACGGAAGATGTTACAGCTTTACAGCTCTGTTTTTCTTCTTCCCGTGTGTCCCTTGGCAGGGAAGAATATGGGAGAATACAGTCATAAGTAAATTAAGGCTGAACAGCTTCAAGTTGGGATACTTCAGAATTTTGTACTAGCTGCTGTGGTGACTGAAGAGACTGCTAGGACTAAAGTTACTACACATTCAAAGCACATTTTTGCAACAAAGCTTTTACCATGCTAGTCCTCCTGCAAACATGCAACGCGTTCCAATGGGTAGGCCTAGGCTAGGCCTGACTTTTGATCTCCAAAATAAAGAGCTGTGGTAGAGATTTATGAATTGAGTAGTTAGAACAAAAAGGAAAATAGACTTACACCACAGAACAAGCATAACATCCTTTCTTGCTACTCTCTCGAATTAAAAATGCTCCATCAGGTTTCCCACAGAGCAAGTCTTCTGCTTGGATACGGTTGAGATCCCCAACAAACCAAGTTTTCTCATCATGATGTGGCAGGTTTTCATCTTCTTCATTCACAAAGTACGTGCTGAAAGAGAGGATAAATTTAACTTAACCAGTGGTCAGTAAAGGAGTTAATAAGCAGTGATTTATTTTTGCAGAAATCAAACAAATACCAGAACACACCCAAATTGGGAGGTCAGGCTCTTAATAGAGAGATGTTAAAGGCTTCAACTTAGAACTTAATTGTTCCAACTTTGTTTAATCCTAAATGCTTCAGCAGAGTTGCTGCCTCACATGACATACAGTTCCCCTAGAGAATTTCTCCCTTTTTCTGCAGTCCTTCCTTTTTCTATAGTCCTTTACTGAGAAACTGGTGTTTCGTATTGCCAACCCCCACAAGAGAAAACACTTATTAATGGAACACTTTTCAGAAAAATCATATGTATAATGACACTTACTCATCAATATTTTCATTTTTGATCCCCAGCCAGTCGTTTATTCGCTTCTGTCTCACCCCTTTGTGATTGAGCCATCTGCCAGAAGAGAAGAGCATTAATACGTTACTTCAGAGTACATGTACGGGTTTTCTTACTGAGCAAGCTGAAGCTCAGACACAAGGTCCCACAAAGAAGCAGCCTGGAGCTTAGTTTGTTCTCCAGTAACAAAAGCCATAGAAAGACCACAGATTCCATAACAGTGCTTCCTTGCATCACCATCTTCTGAGATGCCCCCTTTACTGGGCAACAGCAAAGAGAAGCCATGAAGCAATCTCTTAAATGGAAAAAGAAGAGGGTACAGCTGAGGAAGAGGTACTGCCTCTGCATAGTGCAGGCCAGAAAGGAAGCGGAATACAAATTTTGACAGCTGCCTGTGTCTCTTGGGAAAACAAACTGGGTATTCCCACTGGCTTCTTCTAACCTCCTAACATCACCTTCTGAGACAGTGTTTCCCTCTGTCTTCTGCCAGAATCCTAGTGCACCGAGTCCAGCCCAAGGACATTAGGAGCTGGGTAACAGGGGTACCAGCGAAATCAAGGGTGGGTATGAGCAACATCTGCCACACCTAGCACAAAAAGTACTAAGCTCTGTTGTATCAGCAGGCACAGGTTTTGTTTATAACTTATTACTCTTAAATGTTTTATTTACAGGAGTTGCAGAATGTGCACCTAGTTGTGGCAGGCTCTTTTAAGTCTGACAAGAGCATAATAAAGGAATGAAGTCATGAAGAGGCCAACCAATTACTCAGACATCCCATGCCAGAATGTAGTACCTTAGCACTCACAGAACTTTGGTTATGAAAAGAAAATTAAATTCCCATTATCCTGATAGAAACAGTCATTAATCAGGTTAATCAGAGACACTATTCTGAAGTACAGGTCAGGTTTACTTACACAAGATACTGATCTCTGATTTTGCGGAGCTGAATTAGGTCAGGCTTGATACTATTCATTTTCTTATCAGTCTCCCTGTTGTCCAGAGCTTGTTTCTTCAAATCTTGTTCCAGGCGCATTTTACTATCATGGATCTCACCCAGGCGTGATTTTAATTTTTCATAGTTCATCATTATCCTGCAAACAAGTGTAATATTTGAGAGGTGAGGTCAAACCAGTCTAGAAGGACTGAACCTTACCGGTAGCACTTACATAAGAGTATCACAAGAACTACTGTAACAGCAGCTCCTCCCTTTGACCGCCTCATCTTAACACGAAAATTACTGCAAGAGTGCCAGAAAAGACCTCTTGCCAGAAGGCCTACCACCCTTTTGCATACTTTGAACCTTCAGTTTACCTTAATATATTTCCTTCTGGCAGAGATGCAGGAACAAATTATCTCTAGGAGGGTAAGCTGGAACAGATTCCTCCTTCACTGTCAGATTTATTTTTTGATCTATCAATTATGCAATCCCACCACAGGTATCAGTACTAGCAAGATTTCAAATGCAGACTTCAATTACTGATCAAGAGCTACCAGGAAGTAACACTGCCTGTCTCTTCATTCAAGATCAGTTTGCAGGTTTGGTACAATTCAGGAAAATAATGTATTTCCCTTGTTAATTGCTCTTTAGTCAAAATGAAGCACCACAATCGCATAGTAAGATTGTTACAGGTAACTGTTTTCAGTCTAAAAATCTTCTTGAGGTTACCCTACTGTGATTCATAAAGCACTGTGTCAAGTTAGGCATTACACCTGGCATTTCTTCAAAGGCCTAGATACAGCTTTTTCTGCTAGTATCTTCACAGAAGGGCAATTTCAAATGAGGCCCTTACTGCATTTCTGTTTGATGACCACTATACACTACCAAGTACTGGCAATTAAATACTCATCTTCTTCGAAAGCGACTAACACTGACTATGGACTATGAGATTTACCAGATCTATGCCCATTTTGCAATTCACAAGTAAAGATTTTTCTGAATTATATTCTCAGCAAATCCAAATAGAAGTGGGATAAGCAAATGCAGCTATTATTACCTGATCCTCATCACAGTATCTTGATTTACCGAAGTTAAGAGAGAATAATCCAGAGATCTCCCACCTCTTCTGTCTACAATGCAGTTCCCTGACAGAAGAGGGCTTTACTGAAAGTTCAGACACCGTGGGGGAAGGTCTCAGAGTAAATACTGAGTTTACAAAGTGTTTTATATGATGCAATATTATATAGAAGAGTTTCATGGGAGCGTCAATGTGGACACTAGTTCTTCCTTGTAAGCAAACACAACCTGAGAGCCTACCGTTCAATTTCTTTGTCATTCCCCTCCCTGCGAAATCGCTCAATGTATTCTTTGCTGTATCGCTCTTGTGAGTGGCACTGTTCCTCAAATATCTTAATAGTTTCATTAAATGCTTCAATTGCGGTCCTCTTCATCTGAATTTCCTATGTGAGGAAAGAGTCCTTCATCATTTGTTCATGATACAGATGACAATGCAAGACTCGATTATGTTCCCTAAATTGAGCGAGAAGATGAACTTTTCTTCCCCCCCCTCCCCCAAGTCAAAATGTGATTAATCAGTTATTTAAATTTAGTCAAATGTCCGAGTAGAGTCAGGGAATTACAGGGAAGACTTACTCCCTGTAAGTCTACTCTCCTCCCCCACACAACGCTCTCTATTAGGCTGCAAACCCCTCAAATATTTTAGTCATATTTTCCATCTTAGTTTGCAGGAAAACTGCCAGCAAACCTCCTCCCATATATGAACTATCTTATTTTACAAGAAGCAGTCCAAATACTGTGTTCACACTTCTTTAATGCATAATATCTGGTATCTGATTTGAACATGACTTCATAAAAAAACCTGGACAAACCCCTCTACAATTTTCACTGCAGCATACAGCAGCTGGAAATACTCAGCAGCCAAGGAAGAAGCCTGCAGTGCAAAGCTTGCAGGTGATGGCCTTCTCCACTGCTCTACCTTATACTAGGAAGCTCAGTTCCTCTTTCTTCCTTGCCCCACACCATACCTCTGGGACTATGAGCAACAAGTAATGTTCACTGTTTCCATCAACTTTGAAACCACCTTGCTCTATTCCACAATTTACTAAGTTCTTCCTTGTATTTTCTGACCTTGGACTGCCTTATTAGCCGTAACAGCTTAAAATAATTTTTCTTTACTTTTTAAACAACAACAAACAGACTCTATAGATAGCTAAAGTAAAACCAACCTGTGATGTTCTGGTATATTCTTCATACAATTTGTCGTACTCTTTACTCTTTTCCTGATATTGAGCATGGTATTCTTGAAGCTTTTTACCTACTGCATCTATATTATCTTCTTTCACCAACTGATCCTGTACATACAAAAAAGCTATTAAGTCTTCGAGCAAAGCAGCTTTTCCTTAAGAGTATTCGTTTGTCCACTTATGCACATTTGCATTTTACAGCTATTAGCATCATTTTTATAATCGGGTTTCTGCAGAACACAAACCGTATCTAAATCCCCTTTCCTCCATGCAACAAGTTCCACAGTTTACAGACAGTAGGAACTGGAACTATGGGACACCAAGAGCTATGCCAAAATACTAAGCTTCCAAAAAACACACTCTAGCTTAGGTCTAGGATTGCTATCCCCTACTGGAGAAAGGAGGAAATTAATTGCTTGGATTCGGAAGGTAAAGATCAGAGTATTTTTTTCCCCAAAAGCTCTGCAGTTCTTTTTCCTTAATGCAAGACAATGTCTCGGGCTACTGAATAAAACTTTAAAAAATATTCTTGAAAAATTTAGATGTCTATGCACAGAACGAGCAGCCGCATGGCTCATATGTGTTTCAAGGGCAACGCTGTCTAAAACAGCGCCCTCTGGGTTCATAAGGGTCCAAGGGGGAAAAAAAGGCTTCTCAGGCTCAAGTCTACTACGTATCAGGGTTTCACTTCTCTGTTGGACTGCTCGGATGGAGACTGGAAACTTGATAAAATGAAGAAGCTTAAATGGCTAGACAATTTGGAAGACTCATTATTATAAGCAAAGTGAGGTCAAATGTGAAAACTCACTTTTTTTTCAGTTTTCAAAAAAAACAAAACAGGCTTCACATAGATAGAAAACAAAATCATATACACATTTGCAATTTTTTTCTTGTCTGCACTAATAGCTATTGGGGTCCGATGAAGATCTTACCTGCTGGTACCGGGACACTGGATACATCAACTTCACATCAAGCTTCGGGTTATACTGAGCCAGAGACTCATTGCGGTAGTGGTTAATCAGTTCCACAACTGAATTAAATGTCAGTGGATCAGAAAAGCCGTATTTTCCATCCCGATGATAGATCTTTATCAGTTTATTGTTGCCACCCTTCCTGTAAAGTGGTACAGTAACTTAGAGGTTTTACTGTGTACCTCCTATCCCTCTTCAACAGTAAGGCTGCTAACAAAGACACCAGTGAAATTCCTAGGCAAGTTGCTTTGACACTGTACACCTTCATAATGCTGCTTTACATACTAGCAGATATTGGTAGTTTAAGAGTCAATACACACAGAATTATCAGCAGATATTATTTGAACAGGAGCAAAGCCCACA